AGGGTCTCTGAGATTCCAGGGCAGGGAATTTTGTGTTGGACCTTCGACTGGCGTGCTGAAGGCATTAGAGTCTGGTCCACTCTGAGGGGCTTCCAAGTCTTAGCCTTTTGATGTGGCCAAGCAAGGATGCTGTACTCAAGGAACCCTCGTCTGAAACCCAGCCTGCTGGCCAATGGTGGAACAGGAATTCAATTAAAAAAACCAAACCCATGCATGATTAGCAACATAAATTGTCCCATTGGGTGGTTCTCTACAAGCAATGTCAATTGCTTTCCCCAAGGGCAGGCTGCCTCTCCCTAGTTCACCGTCAACGTCAGTGAAATCTCTTCAGAGATAGACACATCCTATCCTCTCTGGTCACGAATTTCCACTGCAGTTCACTGAATGCCATTGCAGGACTGTCTGTTACACTGGGCTGGCCGGGGACAATGCTAGATGGCAGGAACTGTTTGGTCCTCTCCCAGGTCCCCTAAACAGACCTATCTGTAAGCTTTGCAGCCAGCATAAAACACATGTCCCTTTCCTGTGTCCTGCCTGCAACTGTGAAGGACTTGGCCGCCACCTGTCAGAACTTGGTGACAGTTTCCTTCGCCCTCCTCTCAGGCCCTGTGTAAGCCGCTGCCCGGCGTGACTGCAAACGCTTGCCTGCTGTTACAGCCCCGGGTGAGGATCGCCCTCCTTTGGACGATCTGCTTGGGTCGTTTCATCTTGATCTTGTTTAAGACAATCAATGTTCTCCTGAGACGCTCTTTGAGACTTGGGGTCTCTTTTATGACCTAAAGCAGACAGCAGCTCCGTCCATCACAGGGGCAGACAGCAGCAGGACCAGGACAGGGGTGGGTCCACGTTGTACTTTCTGTGGGACAGGAGCGCCTGCAAGATGGGTTCAGGGACCCTCCGACCAAGGCAGTCAGGGTATGGCTCATGGCCACTCGACCATAGCGCCCCAATTTCCACTAAGGGCACTCCCAGGCAAGTCCCTCGGGGCTAGGCTGCCCCTCCCTGGACTGGCTAGGGCAGTGGTAGTAATCCACTTTCTAATACACTCTGCCTCTGCGTTGTCATGCTGGAGCAGACTATTGAAAAGACCGTGGACTGTCTAAAGGACAAACGGACCTGTCGGGGAAGAAGTACAGCCAGAGAGCTCCTTAGAGGCAGGACGCCGAGACTTCGTCTCACACACTTTGAACGTGTCCCAGGGGGGACATCATGCTTGGTCCAGTTGAGGGACAGTGAAGCAGAGGAAGGTGCTCAGCACGATGGACTGGCCCGGTGGCTGGAATCATGGGCACAAGCACAGGAACCGCTGTGAGGGTGGCACAGGACTGGGCAGTGTCTTGTCCGGCGTGCATCGAGTCTCTGTGGGCCGGCACTGACCGGACGGCACCTATGACGTAGCCTGCGCACTGGCCTGAGAGCAGGGCTATTCCCGTGGCCCGTAACAGATTCAGAAAGAAGGCGGTAGAGGCTGAATCTATGCTGAGACTCATAAATGGGTTTTAGGGGCTTCTGCCGTTCTACTCAGCCTCGTGCAAACTTCCTGCTGAGAAAGTTAGGCCCTGAAGCACTTTGACCAGCAAGGTGCTGTGCACAGCGGAGCAGGCGCTCACATTTGGGGGTGAGCCCCAGCCTTCACTTCGCTGGGAGCAGGGCCCTGCGGGTGTCCTTACAAAGATGGGAGCGTCACTCACTCCAGTGTGATGGAGTGATGGGAGCCATCTCAGGTCTCCGCCAGCAACGCCACCCAGCATCTCCACGGCCTCATCAGCCTTGGGGTGTGTCCTTTAAAACAATGTAACCACCTCGCCAAGATGGCCACCTGAGCTCATCTGAGCCACCTGTCTGGGGTGACATTTGGTCACAGTCCTTCCTCCTTGCCTGGCCCCAGAGTTTACAAACCTGCAACTTGCTTTCTGGGTACGTCCGTGGGCGATGGCAGGGAGATGCCAGGCTCCAGGAGATGCCATCTGAGTAGGGTTGTCCTGGCCTGTCTGTCCCTCATCAGAGGTCCCGGTATCCCCCTGGTGGTCACCCACTCCCCTTCCCCCCAGGGGCGTGGCAGAGCAGCGTCCACTTAGCCACATGGCAGCTCTCCTGGGCCCCTGTCCTCTCATCTCAGGACATCCCACAGACAGGACAAAAGTTATGTGGCATCTGGGACTGTTGAGACAGCTCTGCCCCCCAGGAAGGGACACTGGTCATCAAACAGGATCCTCAGCCCAAGAGTGCGCCTTCTGGGAGGCCAGACACATCCCATCGCGATTTCTCAGCTCTGGCCCTCGGGCTGCTGGGACATTGGCAGCCAGCGCAGACTTCCTCCTGGCCCCTGGGGTCTCACTCTGCAGGGTCCCAGGATGGGGTACTGGGTCTCAGGAAGTCACCTTGGGGGTCGGGAGGCGGGGCTGGGAGCCCCAGGGCAGGCAAGGGGGCACCAGGTGGCCAAGCTCTGGGTGCTGGCATTGTAGCCCCAGCCCAGCCCGAGGGGCAGTACCTACCCTTGGGGGAGTGGGGGGTGGCAGCTACCCCCTCCCACCCCTGACTCGCCCTGCCCACGATTTTCAGGAATGGGGAGGAGGAAGCGTGCTGAGTTCTTTTTAATTCTGTTTTTTCCCCCCTTTCCCTCCTTTCTTTTTTCTCTTTTCGATGAGAAGTTCTTTCTCCTGGAGTTTTCCTGACATCCCCCACTCCGCCCAGGCCCCCTGTGATGGGGGTGGGCTTTGACTTCCTTGGTGGGAGCACAGGCGTGGGAGCGTGGCATGCTCTGTGACCATGGGGCACAGTGCATTTGAGCCTAGCCCTCAGGCACACACCGCGGTACACCCAGAGGACCCCAGAGGCCATCCTGCGTGTACTGTCCCTCACCCTGGCATTTCCACCAGAGGGCAGGCTGGCCTGGAAGGCACCGTTGGTAGAGGCTGCCCTGATGGTGTCGTGGGCTAGGCGGTGTGCTGGTAACCACAAAACTGGAGAGTCAAACCCACCAGGCACCGCGTGGGAGGACAAGGCTGCCTGCTCCTGTAAAGATGGACAGCTGAGACCCCACGGGGTGGAAGTGACCGATGGCAGTGGGTTTGGTGACAGCCAGAGGGCACCCAGCACCACCAGGTTATCAGAAACCCCAAACAAAACCACGGCTGTAGAGCCGAGCAGAAACCTGTGCGTTCCAAGGCTTCACTCGTTATTGGAGCGGCACCCTCAGGTCCTGGCTCCTGACGAGTAATGGGGGGACTTGAACTGCTGACATGGGGGTGAGCAGCCCAAGGAGTCGCCCACTTCGGCCACTAGGCCTCCTAGGTTCTAGGGGGCGGGGAGGCCTGGTTCATCTGGGAAAACTGAGGCAGTTGTTGACTCCGGGGGTGGTGGTGGTAAGGAGTAACTATGGAGACTTTGGCTACCCATGGGGTGATGGTGGGGCCCCTCCCTGCTGCCTGCCTCCTGCTTCCCACACCCCGTCTTTCTTTTTTTCTTTTACTTTTATTGGGGCTCTTACATCTATAATCACAATCCATACCTTCATCCAGTGTGTCAAGCACATTTGCACATAGGCCGCCATCATCATTTTCAAAGCATTCTCTTCCCACTTGAGCCCCTGATGTCAACTCCCCATTTCTTCCCCTCCCTCCCCTGCCCTCCTTCCCTCCCTCACTAACCCTTGATAAGTTATAGATTATTATTTTCATATCTTATATCATCTTCTGTTGCCCCTCACCCACTTTTCCATTATTCGACCCCCTGGAAGGGGATTGTAGGTTGATCCTTGAGATCTATTCCCCTTTCTCGCCCACCTTCCCCTTATCCTCCTGGTGTCTCTATTCTCATGGCCTTGAGGGGTTTATCTGTCCTGGATTCCCTGTGTTGTGGGCTCTTATCTGTAGCAGTGCATGCTCTGGTCTAATCCGATTTGTAAGGTAGAATTGAGGTCATGGTAGTGGGGGGAAGGAAGCACCAAAGAACTAGGGGAAAGTTGTGGTTCATCAGTGCTACACGGCACCCTGACTGGCTCATCTCTTCCTTGTGACCCCTCTGTGAAGGGATCTTTCTTAAAGACAATTGTCCCGATATTTTCTAAGTGAATGACCAGGGCACAAGGGTTGAAGGCTTCCCCTGTCCCTTCCAGCTCAGTCAAGGAAAAACAACGTCATCTTTTGAGTGAAAATTCTTGCCAGGGGTTAGCTTTTTCTTTAAAAAGATGTTTGGAAATGGACTTTTGGCCTGTGGTTCTGTGGCCAGCAACACGAGCCTGAGCGAGAAGACCCTTTCTGGCCTGCCCATGGGTCCGCTCGCCTATTTTTAAAAATCATTTGTCTGTAAATCACTTGTAGGAAAGTCTCCCTCCGAATAGACAAGAGTGGCTCTCTGTACATTCACTTCCAGAACAAAGGCTTTAAAACACAACCTTGATTTTGAATCTGTTTATAAACCCAGCACCTCCCCATTACCCCTATGCAGTGGGCGTTGGGTGATGCACCCCAGGAAGCAGAGCCCAGGAACCGCCCCCTGCCCAGGAAATGGCAGGGATGGCAGGAAGCCCGCCCCCAGACCTGCACCAGCTGCCAGTTTGGGCAAATGTCTAGAAGCCCAGGGCGGTGCTCCTCCAGCTGCAGAGCCCTGGCCAGTTTTGTCCTGGGGCTGCCGAGGCTGGCGGGGAGATTCTGGGAGCAGTGCCTGCGGGGCCAGGACGTCCCAAGGAATTTCCCACTGGAGGCTGCCTGCAGTCCCAAGACCCCTGTGGGGCGGCGGTTGCAATGGAAGTCCTCATGGAAGCACTCAGTGGGAAGCTTGTGCCGCCTGGTGTTGCTGGGGAGGTGGGAGACTGGCGGACAGAGGGAAGGGTGGAAGTGACCAAGTGTGGACACAGGGGATGGGCGGCGGGCCCGGGGTCATTGGGGAGGGAGGTGGAGGCTGAGGGGTCGCCAAGGGGGCTCAGAGGCAGGGCCCCGATCACTAGGTACGTGGGAGTTAGGGGTGGAGTTGCCAGTGTGGGCGCAGGCGCCTGGCGGTCAGTGGGCAGATGGCAACAGCAGCAGCAGCGCCAGGGTCACCGCTCCCACCAGCAGCGGCCGCGGGGTGGTGGCGGGGGGCGCCCCGGCGGTGGTGGTGGCCGGGGACGCCCCTGCGGTGGCGGTGGCGGCGGGGGGCGTGAGCGCGCAGTCCGTGTAGGGCTCCAGGCAGGCGGCGAAGGCCATCACGTGCGCCACGAAGGTCTGCTCTTGCACCCCGCGCACCAGGTGCGCCTGCGGCCCGCGCGCGAACATGGCCACGTCCTCCCCGCCGTGCGTCTCAGAGGACAGGGGCACTGCTGACTGCTGCTTGTACCCGGGGTCCACTGGAGGGGGGGAGGGGGAGTGTCAGGGGGCGTTGCCCTCCCTGACTGACCCCCCTCCCCCACTCCAGGCCTCCCCCCTGCAGCTCCCTGCTCACAGCTCAGGGACTCATTGACATCAGGCCGGGGGCCGGGGCCAGCGTATCCAGGCCCATTGCCGTACAGGATGGACGTGTAGGCCTTGCCGTCCAAAGCCTTCTTGTTCGCCAGCCCTGTGAAGGGGTGGGACGGTGGATGGCAGTGACCGCACCCAGGCGGGCCCTACCGGCTGGACTCTGTCCCCGCCCCGTGTACCCTACCGAAGATGGAGGTTCCCCGAAGGGTGTAGCCGCCGAAAGTGAAGACGTGGGAGTGGTCAGCAGTGACCAGGGTCAGCGTGTCCTCCTCGCTGGTGAGTTTGCCCGCCTTCTCGATGGTGGAGTCGAACATGACAGCTTCGGTCAGTGCCAGGTAGCCGCTGCCTTCATGGTGACCTTGGTCGATGCGTCCCCCTGTGGCCGCATGGCAGGTAGATGACTCCCAGCCTGTCCCACCACCACCACCACCACCACCACCATCACTGTTCTCTGGCCACGCCCCCTCACCCTCCACAAAGAGGTAGAAGCCGCGGGGGTTCCTGCTGAGCAGCCGCAGGGCAGCCTCGGTCATGTCCATCAGAGAGGGGTCCTGGGTGGGGTCTCGGTTCACATCAAATTTTGTGTCTCCCGGCTCGAAGAGGCCTGTGGAAAGTCCGGCAGGGATGGGTCAGGAGCAGGAAGGTGGGGGGTGGGGGATGGGCAGGAAGGTGGGTGGACAGGAGAGGGTCCTCACCCATGA